AATGAAAATGGAGGCTGAGATTGGTACCTTCCCACAGATCTGTTCATTCAGCTACCATGCAAAGTCACGTCTTTGCAGTCATGGGTTGAATCTGCATTTGTCTTTCCCACAAGTGTCCCAGCCTTTTGACTCAGTCTTCAAAATGCTGTCTACATTTGGTGTCGTTTTCTCACCTCAAGAGTGCTAGCATACTTTTGCATGTCCACATAAGTTTATCGTCCTTTCGGGGTGGCTCCACTGTCATTGCATCTCTGCACTGCTTTAAAAGAATCTTCTCCAAACAACATTCAAACAAGCATAGAGAAAGACAGCCTCGAAAACAGTTCTATCTCAAAGAGCTTGCAGTTTATATTTCTGGTGTACATTGCCATTGAAACAGTACGGTATGGATTTATTGGTTTCTGGCTCTATGATTGTTGATACTTTTCTGTTCATATTTATTCAAAATATTTATAAATTCTGCCTTATCTCTTCAGATGCATACCTGTCAGACATATGCCAGCAGGGGGTTGGGGGCTATCCAGTGTTTTGCACGGAGTGTCACATGTATGACTATCTGCCCACTGGGCAGAAGTCTTGGGTGTGTCCTCGGTGCAAGGAGCTCCTGGTTCTCAGGGAACGTGTGTGCTCCCTTGAGGCCAAGGTGGCTGACCTGGAGAAGCAGAGACAGTCAGCTAGGCACACAGAAAAGACTCTCGGGGACTTGTTAGCTACGTCCCACTCTGGATCTGGCAGCCCCGCTGCTGTCAGGGAGCATGAGGGTCTAGGGGAAACAGGGCACCATGCTGAGGATAAGGGGAATGTGCCCTCAGAAGGGACCTCTTCCCCAGCTGGTGAGCGGCTCTCCTTTTGCACCAAGGAACCATCCCTGGGCAGGGTGGGAGGGGGGCTCTTGGTAGTGGGTGATTCGATCCTTAGGCAGGTAGACAGCTGGGTGGCGAACCCGCGTACTGACCGTATGGTGACTTGCCTGCCTGGTGCGAAGGTAGCGGACATTACGCGTGTTTTAGATAGGCTGGTAGATAGTGCTGGGGAGGAGCCAGTGGTCGTGGTGCATGTCGGCACCAACGATGTGGGGAAATGCAGTCGTGAGGTCCTGGAGGAGAAATTTAGGATGCTGGGCAGGAAACTTAGGTCCAGGACCTCCAAGGTAGCCTTCTCAGAAGTGCTACCTGTTCCACGCGCAGGGCCGGAGAGAGGCCAATGAGGCTGCATATGCAAATAACCTCTGTGTTCTGACTGGCTATGTGGGGGGAGAGGAACAGCAAAATGTTTAGAATGTTGGAGGCAGGACTCAGGCAAAGCAGCCAGTGGATAGGGAGACCCTCTGAATGACAGATCAGAGAGCGAACTGATTTTGGAGTGTGTGGAATGTTCTAGAGAAGTGCCACCACCATTCGGCTTTTATATATAAGGGAGATTTGTATTTCTTTGCATCCCTCTGAACTTTGGTGTCTCTTTTTAGACTCTTTTCTGCAGCTCTTCTTTTTCTTCTCTTCATGCTCAAGCCTACGAAAAGGAATAGGAGACGTACAGAGACATAAGAACATAAGAGAAGCCAGTGTTGGATCAGGCCAATGGCCCATTTTGTTCAACACTCTGTCACACAGCGGCCAAAAATACCAGGTGCCCTCAGGAGGTCCACCAGTGGGGCCAGGACACTAGAAGCCCTCCCACTGTTGCCCCCCAAGCACCAAGAATACACTGCATCCCTTGCCTTAGACTGAGAGTTCCTATCTAATCAGTTCCTATCGATCAGAGTTCCTGTCTATCAGTAGCTAATTGCCACCAATGGACTTCTGTTCCATAGGCTTATCTAATTCCGTCTTGAAGCCATCCATGCTTGTAGCCACCACCACCTCCTGTGGCTGTGAATTCTATGTGTTAATTAATCTTTGGGTGAAGAAGAACTTTCTTTTATCTGTTCTAACCTGACTGCTCAGCAATTTCATTGAGTGCCCACGAGTTCCTGTATTGTGAGAAAGGGAGAAAAGTACTTCTTTCTCAACCTGCTCTATGCCATGCATAGTCTTATAAACCTCGATCGTGTCACCCTTCAGCCGTCATTTCTCCAAGCTAAAGAGCCCCAAGCGCTTTAACCTTTCTTCATAGGGAAAGTGTTCCAACCCTTTTATCATTCTAGTTACCCTTTTCTGCACTTTATCCAATGCTATAATATCCTTTATAAGGTGTGGTAGACCTGTTCTCTGGAGGCCTGGTCTACCCACGTAGAGGACAATTTCTGTAATGAAATTTGACAATTCTATTTTCTCCTATGTTTAAATTATTCTTAAAATATAGTTTAAATATACTTTAAAAGAATTGTGGTTATGGAAATAATCTTCTAAAAACTACTCAAGAGTCAAATGTACTCACAACTTTAATGCTACTAGCTTTTTCACTCACGAGGTGGAATTTTTGCTCACAACACTGTGGAGCTTAGAAGGAACGTTGCTGTACTGAACCAGAACATTGGTCCACTGAGGTCAGTGTCGTCTACTCAGACTGGCAGTGGTTCTCCAGGGTCTCAGGCAGAGGTCTTTCCGATCACCTGAGCCTTTTAGTTGGAGATGCCAGTGACTGAACCTCGGATCTTCTGCATGCCAAGGAGATGCTCTACCATTGAGGAACAGTGAGACACTCAGGGGGCATTTCGTAGAAAAAGAGGTGCAGGAGCTCATTAGCATAACTCATTTGCATATGCCACACCCCCTGACATCACTGGAAGTGTGTCAGAAGGCAACACCCACCGCTCAGGCTCCACTGGACTGTTTTGGATTGCTAGCTATGGGGGGGGGGGGGAAGGTGCAGAACTGTCCTCACAGAGGAGGGAGAGCTTGTACCTAAATAAAACTTGGTCTTAAAGGTGCCACTGGACTGTTTTGGACCGGGGGGCCGGGGGAAGCTCTGCAACTTACCTGGCTGCTTCTTGCTCTGACTGAGGGCTGCTGAGAGCAGGGGGTGGGGCTTGTTGCATGTGCCCGCCCCCTGGGCTCTTTACTGCCGGAGCTCCGCTCCTGTGCGCTCCTGCAGGAAATGACCCCTGGAGACCCTCCTTCCATGAATTTCTCCACTGCATTCAACTGATGGCGTTTTGGAATATTTGCTTTATTTGTAAATATACAAGTGGAGACAATGAGGCACTCCCACAAGGCAGCAAATCCCCTACCCCACATTAGGTCCATGGAGAGAGAGACCCTGCATCCCTGGGGGCTTCCGGGCATTTCTCTTTGTGTCTCTTTCCAGAGCTGCTGTTTCTTCACACACCTTTCTCCTCTCTTCGGCTGGCAAGGGTCCTTTCCTCCAAGCTCTTATGGTTGCTTTATAAGGCCCCGGTCACACGGAGCATTAGGCACGCTAGAGAGACGGAAGATAGGCGGATTTTCCGGGCGCGATCTCACCGCCACATCTGGGAAGTGTCGAGCTCCCGT